CTATAACAGTGAAATTACATTTCAGATACAGGTCACCAGAGAATAGAGTGCTGTTACTTTTCCTGCTTCTTGTAGTTCATCCAGAAAATTAAGCCTGCTATATTTCCAGAAAAGAAAAAAATCAGATCAATGTGCATTTTTCCTGGTTAACTGGCACAGGCGTTTCAAAAATCAGTACTTGTGTGATCTATAGCTTGCGAATGGTACTGCCAACCATGCTATGAGAATTTGCAGAGATGATTGGAGRGATCAATGTAGCCCTGTGAAATATCAGTGTACATAGTTTGATGCAGAAAACAGCCTCATCCTGCTGTTCCCTGGGTAAAAGGAGAAGTCTCAGGAATGTTGGCAGATGATAAGCAGAAATGCCAGAACACTAATCCTTCAGAGCAAATCTTCTCATTGCTACACTTCCACTAACATGTTGCAGTGAACTGGACCTAGTGATGGTAAGGACACAATTTCTTTATTAGATTTGATACTRTTATATCAGATTATTTTTTACCGGGAATGTTTTCTGTATTCACTACAGAACGTGCTTGTTAAATAGAGCTTCATTGTGTTGGCTTGTTAAGATGTTCTCTAAAAGTCTATTTGAATGTTCCTGATAAAGACTTCAGATGTTGAGGAGGAGGGAGTGAGAAAAAAGGATGGAAACTTAAACAGATATCTGGAGATAGCTAAGTAACAGCCATTAATGTGAGCGGTGAACTAATCTTCCAGGAAGAAAGACAGCTTGGACTAATAATTTGTCTACGTCTGTCGATGAATGGAACAATAGCAGGGCTAAATATGAGATTTCTASGAATATTATTGATGAAAAGTAGCTTGTATCACAGTCCAGACATGGCAGCAGCAGAGATGACAGTCTTTCCTACTCCTGCTCTTGTCTTCTAAAATAATTTCTGTCTTTGTAATTTAGTCTTATTGCATAGAAAGGGAAACAAGCATTTAATGTCTTCACATAGGGAATTTGGATAATGGACTTCTTTGATACAGATAAAGGCTCTTTCCAGTAATAACTCTCATTACTGTACATAAAAAACAACTGAAAGCAACTTACTTAGTTGACCGAAAGCACCTTAGTCTTTGAAAGATCCTGGAACAGCCCACTGCGAGTAGATAACTAGGCGAACGTGCAACCTGTGCTTGAAAATGAGCAGTACTGAATGTGCCCTGAAAGGGTACAGTTATTTAGACACCTCCTCTTTCCCCAGCAAGCATTAAGCGGCCCTTAGCTGAAGAGAGTGACATTCAGAATGCCCTTTCCTTCACATATTATAGCAGCTGCGTGACTCCAGTTACAGAACAGGTGAGTGAGGTGACAAGGCTTAGAAGCCTCAGGGGTGAGTGCAGAAAGCAAAGGGACAACAGGTGGCAGAAAGAGTCAGAGAAGGACAGGGAGGTGCATGGAAGGCGAATTAGGGTTACTAGTATGATTTTAAGGTCAGGATGACCTTAAGCAGAAGAAGAAGTTAGATGGTGCGTCCCTCTTGCCACTCTGTGACAAGATGAGAGAGGTGGTGTGGTACAGTCAGCATTGCTGTGATGTGCGCGTCCCAAATGCTGTGARAGGAAAATACAACTAAGTTGGGAGTTATAAGAACTTTATGGGAAGATTCCCTGCCCATCTCAAATTATAAAGAGCTTTTCACTCAGCCATTGCCTTTGCCAGGCGCACAGAAGTAACCTTTCCTTTTGCATCCATGCTATTAGTTCGCTGACAGGATGCTGYTCCCGCTGGGAATTTTGCACTGCATCGCCGGCTTGCGTGTATCTCCCTGGAGTGGGGTGACCCCTAGGGGCCTCTGAGCAGCGTTGTCCGCTGCAGGAACACGCTTCGCACTCCGCATGACTTTTCCTATTAATACCCAGAGCCCTTATACATGTCAGATAGACCCTTATACGTGTCAGATCTTGGGTTTTTTTTTTTCCTCCTGATCAGGCTTCCAATGCACTGCCCACATAAGTAAATTAAGGCACTTTACCTGACTTCTTTCTTTTTTTCTTTTCCATGAGAAAGACGTGATCTCTTTCAGCCGGTAGTTTGTGCTGAGCTTTGAGCAGATTTGTTAGCTATGAGGAACAGAATTGTGGAATTTGGTTGCTCAAAATTCACTGATTAGAAGTTTATCTCTGCTGAAYGGGGATACTTTCAGATAACGCTGTTCTGTTAGTGAAAACAGTGCTTATTTCCTTGAGGCACATCACTGATGCTCAGATTGTTGCTCTGTAGGAGCACACCAGCTTCATTTGCTTTAAACTTTCTCTCGGAGATGTTCCTTCATGGTAACTATAGACCAATATATATTTTTTTGAGATTAGATTGTGCATCAGCACTTTTCAGCTAGTAGGGAGTCTGATTCCACAAACTAGGTATTTATACAAACTAACTCTGATAATTAATGTATGCTATTAAACTACAAAGATATGGGACATAAAATCTAATTCTAAATGAGAGGTATACCCTTAATAAAGAAGTGCTTAACAGACAGTGCTTATTAATTGGCTTATTCTGGATTGCAGTTTTAAAACGTCTCTAAAATCTATTCAGCCTGGAAGTCCACGTATTGTGGTCAGTGGGAATATGCAGGAGGTATTTCCCACATCAAATTCTTGCACACGGAATCTTGTTATAGGCAGTTTGAGGCACACCATACATGTGGAATGTATGTTAATGTTCTAAAGACTAAATATGTTATCTAAACGGTACAGAAAAGCCTCAGTAATATTTTTTACTCCTCTACAAAATATTTCCTTGTACCTACATCTTCTCTCTGGCATTGTGCTTATCCTTCCAATGCTCCTCTGCTCTAAGGCTGACTCTTAACTCTTTCTTAGCAAGAATAGTGGAGGAGTAAAAAATAGCTTAACGATGAATTATCAGTATCCTCATGGTCTTTGCTAGGATGTCCATAGTGACTGATTTCTGCTATCTAAGTAACTTCCCTTTGTCACGGGTACACTCTAAACTCTTCAAGGTTAACGCTCTCCGCTACGGGAGCCTGGGGTCCTGCAGACCCGCTGTGATCCCCAACAGGGCTCTGCTGTGGACTATGAGTTCAGAGCGAAAAAASGTGTGAAAGAGAATTGAAGTCTGTTAGGGAAGCACTGGAAACCTTCCAACATGTCATGGGAAGGAAGAGGTTTGCTGGTATCATTGCTAGGTGTCATCCAGCTTTGTTAAGCTGTTGGGGTTGAAAAATGTGATCTCCTCCTGAAGAGGGCTCTCTCGTTCCCTTTTTAGATGGCAATGACAGACCGCTCTGGGTTTTCCGTTATCCCATCCTTACTACTGACAGCAGTACAGCTTCACAAGGCCCAGTATGTTGATGAGATGGTACTTGGAGACAAATAAGGTAAGACTCATTTTGATAATTCAGTTTTAGGCATATAGTGTTGTAAATGTCAGCTGGAAGCATCCAGCAGTGTGAACTTCTCTCTCTGGACGCAAAACCTGCACGCTGACACAGGAGAGACCACTGACCACCCTCAGGACTTCTAATGCAAATTCAAAAGCCGAGGTGTGTCGTCCTTTGAAAACTTAGTAGGTGAATCATGTTACAAAGTGTTCACAAGGCACTTGCCTCAGGCTTGATCTCAGTCACAGTTTGCATGCCTCAGATGGAAAATGGCTGACCTGTGAGCAGATGACAGGCTGCTGCTTCTGCCCTGTTCTCTGCTGCAGGAGGCAGCCCCGAGGCAACTACAGCTACTAGTAGCTACTGCCTCAGTGCACAAATGCCTTTTGAGCAACATCTAAGTAGGGCCACTCTTTACTTCCCAACCATGCATTTGTCCTCGTATCCGCTGGAGGCATCTGACTTGATGGGTGTCTTCTGATTGGCAGCATCATTTTTGTCCCGAAAATGATGGGGTATGTGGGACAGTTGCCCTCCCTTCCTGTGCAAATGCTTATTCCTTGACTAAAATACATCAAATAGGCATGTACTTTTCTTAAGTGCATTTAGCTATACAGAAGAGCAAGAAACTCAATTTCTGTATAGTCTTTGTGCTACAGGCAGGATCTCTGTGTAGTTGATATCCATCACAGGTGGAAAATCTTGCTTCTACTGGTAACAGCCAGCTCAGAACCCATCTTCTTGTATGTGATACTGGCTTATCTTCCTCCAAGTGTATCATTTTATGTTTATTTCTGTTGACTTTTGAATGCTATTTTAATGCCCATCCACTAAGTTTCATGGAACTCCTTCTGCAGTTAACCATCAGTGCTTGTCCACACTGCCTGGAACTTCCTTAATTCACTGGAAAACATTATGTACCTTCCCACTCAACTTTTTGTTTCAGGTTGCTCTATCAATAGCTTCAGCAACACAAACCCCCAACAGAGATAATACTTCTCCTTTTGATAATTATTTATTCTTTCTTATCCCATAACTGCATTGTTTCTGTAAAAGTCTTTGATGGAAAACCTTTTTGAAAGGATTTGGAAATCCCCATCCGGATGCTWTTCTACCCTTTCAAAGTCTGTATGTATTCAGAGATAAGGCTATGTTGAATTTAAATGAGGAAGGATGATGAAGATACTCCCTTTGGAATAACACAAAGTACCTGTCCTCATCTCCACATATTCACCCTTCACAGAAAGCACTACAGATGCTGACTGATCCTGTGCTCACTAAGAGCTTTGCAGCAGCCAGAGCTGCTCTTAGACATTACAAAGCACTCTTAGGCATTACTTCCCAGCATTTCTCTCTCTAGGAAAATTCAATTTCTATTCTAGATCCAATTATCAATGTAGTATAAATGGCATAAGCAGTCACGAGATTGGTGATAAAAAGTTGTAACTGGATTATAGGCAAAACTTGTGCCTAAAAGAGACGAGATAAAAGAGAATGAAATGTAAACCTACTTCTCACAGTGTGTAGACAAGGAATCTATGTTCTTTATTCTCTAGACTTTAGGGGGTACAAAAACTAATTACAGAAGAAAATGACAGGGGAAGATTCACATTTTGTGCTCCATCCATGTCACTTTGCTGCCTGCTGGCATCTTCACTCTTCCTCTTCTACCTTCTTGCTGTGAAACTCGCGGCTCTTGGCTCGCAGCTTGTTGACCTGCGACTCTGCAATGTCAGCCCGCTCCTCGGCTTCCTCCAGCTCGTGCTGGATCTTGCGGAATTTGGAGAGGTTGACATTGGACAGCTCCTCCTG